TGAGAAGCCCAGGGCCCCGTCACATGTCCATTGCAGAGGCCTCAGGGTTCTCAAATTCCTGCCTCCTATCTCAGAATCACACAGGGGCATATGGATGGGGGATGGAATGATGGAATTGGAGTTGCTAGCTACTGAGTTTGCTCTTGCTATCCTTGTTTTCTTTTAAGCCCAAACATTATAGCTTGTGAAAATCTTCATGAATTAAACACAGAAATGATTAAGCTCCACTGTGTATTCGGGTAAAGTGAATGACTGTTGCCCAAATGTAGATAGAAAAGAGCTATGGAATCTTGAATCAGGGACGGTTAAATAGATTTCTCCTCTTCCTAGAATTGCTAAGTAAATACTCAACATCTCTTAATTTATTGGAAATGCTTTCTATTTCACAAAAGCCTTCTTTAAGTCAAACCAGAATTCTGTGTGCATAATAGCTTCCCAGTGAATTTATTAGTTGAGTTGAATTATTACTTGACAGACGGATGAAGATAGTGATTTAAAGGTATTACAAATCAACCAGAAATGAGGTAAAGTTTTAGTCCATAGAGAATTAAGATTAAGAAAATTATTTAGATTATTTATGAGATCATAAAATTAGTGTCAAAATGCCATGTAAAAAAATATGCTCAACAGATCAAGAACAACCCGTTGTCTGGACCTCACCACTTCCATTCCATATACTCTGCTGTCTTGGTTCTGCATAAGTCATAAATCTCCCAGGGATGGATTTGCCAAGTAGAATTCAAACCCTTTCTTTTCCATTCATCAACTTTTTTTTTTTTTTTTGGCTTCTCATTTCTTAGAGCTTTAAGAAGAAGATGGAATAGCAGTGATTCACCTATGCGCAGAAGCATGTTGAGTTCTTATTTTTGCAAGATCTATGTCTTAGGCTGAAGTGAGCTGATAGCTGGACTGTGGACAGGAATATTTTCTGTTTTTTCTGCTGCTCACTTGCCAACAGCATTTCCAAAGGATGCTGAGTCTGGGGCACAGAAGTGATATTATTGACCAACAATATCTGGGTCAGTATTAACAGTGAAAATGGTCCGATCATGATACACAAGCTGTTTCAATAGGTTAAACATACTTAAGTCCCAAACATTAGTTGTTCTTTTTTTGTACAGTGATTTTGCAGCATTGTATATTAAATTACATTATAAAGGGGAAACAGAAAAATTATCATTCAGGTATTAGTGCAGTGATGAATCTCACCATGTGCTCCAGGGTAGATGTGAGCTTGAAGTTTTGAATCAAGTATTTCTTCAGAGGGCCTTTGTTCCCTTGTGGCTCCTACATCGTGAGCAACTTGATTATTTTATGACCCCAGTGCCTCTCTTCCTCCTCCCCTTTTTCTTCTATTCTTACTCTTATAATTTTGTACAGTATTGCCCTGAAATGCAAGCCAGCTAATTCTTCTAGTGTCCCACTGCAGCAATAACTATTTTGTTTAAGAGTTTTTTTTAAATGGCTATTTTGAACTTGAACTTTCTACTATAGTACTGTCTGGATAGTTTAAGAGATTTTCAAGGGTAATTTGAAGTGTACTTGATTTTCACCTATGTGCTGACTCTGTAACCAAAGCCCTAAGTAAGATGCAACTCCGTTGTTCCTAGCAGAGATAGACTCAAAGCGTAATGGACATTTTGAGAGGCACTGCAGTATGGTAGGGACAGGGGCTTCAGAAGAGTTCTCTAGAAGGAGCTAGCGTCAGGAGGTCTCATGTCGTAGGTGCAGAGGCTCACAAAAGCAGCACGGGAGGATGGGATGCACTCTGCAGGGCTTGCTCTGTTCTGGACTAAGGTGTTTGCACCTCATCCTAGGGACATGTTCAGCCGTTAGTTTATTCCTGAAGCAGGACAGATATGGGCCCCATTCTCATGCAGTTTATAGACAAACTGGCTACACTGAGCCGTTTCAGAGTTTCAATCAGGGGAGAGACCTGCTTCCCTTTGTTTATAAACAAATGCACGTGTGCACACCCACATATACCTTAAGCAATTATAACAGATAATACATGTACAGGTTAAGAAAAATTCCAACAATATAAAAGGGTATATGGTAAGAAGACAGTCTCTCCCACCTTGGTGTCTGGTTTTCCTCTTTAGACATAATCAGTGCTATTTATTTCCTCTATGTTTGGTAGAGGGTAGGGTCTCACTCAGTCTGATCCCTAACTTCTGATCACAAGGGATCCTCCTGCCTCAGCCTCCTAGAGTGCTGGGATTGCAGCCGTGAGTGGTACCCGTCCTCATTGTCATTTATTTCTTATATATCTCTCTGGATATTCCATGCACAGCACATGCAGTGTATACATACAAAGTAGGCTTCACATCTCTGTTTTCATTAACAATGTACTTGGTCGGCTCGGCGCCTGTGGCTCAAGCGGCTAAGGCGCCAGCCACATACACCTAAGATGGCGGGTTCGAATCCCCAGCCCGGGCCCGCCAAACAACAATGATGGCTGCAACCAAAAAATGGCCAGTCGTCGTGGCGGGCGCCTATAGTCCCAGCTACTTGGGAGGCTGAGGCAGGAGACTCGCTTGAGCCCAGGAGTTGGAGGTTGCTGTGAGCGTGATGCCATGGCACTCTACCCAGGGGGATAGCTTGAGGCTCCGTCTCAAAAAAAACAAAACAACAACAACAACAAAAAACAATGTACTTGGTCATTCTAAATTGCTTCACAGAGATAATGCACATTCTTTTAATGGCAGAAGAACATAATTAGATGTATCTACTGTAATATACAAGGTCAGGCAATTAAGTTCCAGGACTCATCCTAGAAAAAGCGCTATATACCTCATTGCTGAGTATCACTATGGGCACCTTTGAAGTACCCCCCTTGGCCACCTGGTGACTGTAATGATATTCAGTGATGAGGTATGTAGCGCTTTTTCTAGGTGGCGTTCTCAAACTTAATCATCAGACATGGTACCATGACAGCTCTGATGACTATTCCAGAAAGAGTTCCAAAATTGCTTTGAAGGGTGGACTAGGTGGTAGCATCAGTGTATAGTTTCCCGAAGGGAGTACCTTGAAGGTGACTGTAGTGATATTCAGCAGTGAGGTACATAGCGCTTTTTCTAGGATTAGCCCTTGAACTTAATTTTCTGACCCTGTACCTGGTGTCCTACTTGCACATTGAGGTGCTTTTTAGTTCTTTTGCTGCTTCAAACACAGCTGCAGCACCTACTGTTGTGTGAATGCATCTGAACACACACCCAAGTATATCTTTGGAATAAATTCCTAGAAGTGAAGTTATTTGGTCATAGGGTTTGTGCATTCTGGATTTGCTAGCAGTTACTGCATTGCCTGCCAAAGAGGTTGTACAATGTACTCTTGTCACAAATAACATTTGGGAGCATTTATTTCATGAAGCTTTGAGCAGACTTTTCAATTTTTACTACAGATATTCTAGGAATAAAAAAACTTCAGTTGAGCGCCCTTTCCTTCATTCAAAAGCCAGTTGTGTTTCTTTTTCTTTGGACTTCAGTTCTATGCCCATCCCCAACTTATTTAAATGTCTTGGTAGTCTTTTCTTATTGATTTGTGAGAGCTCTTTATATATTAAGCAAATTAAATTTCTTTTTCTTTTGTAAGTATTGTAAATCTGCCTCTACCCAGTTTCTCATTTGTCTTTTGATTTTGTTCATTCTATTATTCCCATTCAGAACATTCTTTTTTGTTCATCAGATTTGTATTTTTTTTTTTTTTTTGAGACAGAGTTTCATTATGTTGCCCTCGGTAGAGTGCTATGGCGTCACAGCTCACAGCAACCTCAAACTTTTGGGCTTAAGTGATTTTCTTACCTCAGCCTCCTAAGTAGCTGGAGCTACAGGTGCCTCACCTGGCTATTTTCTTGTTGCATTTGTCATTGTTGTTTAGATAGCCTGGGATGGGCTCTAACCTGCCAGCCTTGGTGCATGTGGCTGGCATGGTAACCACTGTGCTACAGGCACTGAGCCTTGTTGTTGTTGTTGTCATCGTCATTTTTGTTTAGCAGGCTCAGGCCGGGTTTGAACCCACCAGCCTGGGGATATGTGGCTGGTGCTCTAACCACTGGGCTATAGAGGCTGAGCCTTGTATTTTTTGTTGTTGTTGTGAGATGGAGTCCCACCCTATGCCTTGAGCAGAGTGCAATGATGTTATAGCTCAGTGCAACCTCAGACTCGGGCTGTGGGTAGGCATCCTGCTTTCTCAGCCTCCAGAAGCTGCTAGGATTACAGGTGCTCTCTGGACGCCATACAGGCTGGGTTTTTTTTTTTTTTTATGAGTCGGGGTCTTACTCTTGCTCAGGCAAGTCTCAAACTCCTGAGCTCAAGCAATTTCAAGCAGTTCTCCCTCCTCTCCCACAGTGCGGGATTACAGGCCTGTGAGCCACCTTGCCCAGCAGATTTGTATTTTAGATTTACGTCACCAGCAAGTGAACTAAGGTGAGGAGAGAGAGAAATGAACATGGTATGTACGTGTGTGTGTACACATGCATCAATATATATACATGTATGTGTACACGTGTGCATGTAGACTGTGCAGTAGAATGGAAAGGCTGTGAAGTATTTTTCGAAGCTATGTTAGTACATAACTTTTGAAGTCTTTTTAAAGAACTGAGTAACAAAGACTTGAAAACAAACCTGTAAATACCCTTTGCAATTAAGGGATTAAGAGGAAAAAAATGTAGAATTAAGGAAATAGAGAAGGCGCTTTTTGGCACATCCAATACCACTGAGCATGGCAGTGTGTGCCCCGAGTGCCAAGGCCACAATCCCTCCTGAATTGGCCTTCTTCCCACTAGCCTGGTCCCAGCCCTAGTCCCCGGGGCCTGAGGCTGGTGAATGAATGTTTATTGTCATTGGCTAGGAGCCTTGTCCTTAAGGCTCATTGTCTATAAAGGACAATTCTGTAAATAAGTATTATGAATGGAATTAATTTAACATCTTCACCAGAGCAGCGACTTGCAGCATACTGTCTGCCTCTCACCTTGTCTTTCTCTGTCCTTTTTGATAAAGGGTCCATCTGGAGGCAGCGGGACATGTGTGCATTCTGAAAGATGCCTTTGACTTTGAGAGCCCATCTGAAATTGCAAACCTCATCGAGGCTGAGAAGTGTGAGGCCGCCTTGGCCCTTCACCTGTACAGGGGAGGCCGACTTGTACAAGGTAACCTGCCCTCTGCCTCTTCAAAGTAAAACACCAGCCAGACTGAAAACCAGATGCACCTGGAATGTCCAATAATACACAAAATGATTTTTCTTATTTACAGAGTTCAGAAATGGAAGGGATACAATAATCTCTTTTACTGAGTAATTTTCTAAAGTGTTATTTAACTGTGCAGATCGAGAATGAATGGATGTATATTGAAACTGTTCTTCCTATATTCAAAATATTAGCCTGAATTTTTTCCATGTGTATATTTCACATTTCAAAGTGTCTGTTTCAAAATTTAAAAACAGAGTTCTCTTACAAATCTAGAGTGAACGCTTAAGAAAGATTTTATTCAACCCATTAATGAATGAAGCGATTGCTAAGATGCTAAAGCTGGTTTAAAGCACATTTGGGCAACCATGGCTTAAGGAGGCAATTTAATAAAGAATATCAGAATAAGATCGCTAGGTTTGCTGTAAAGCTGGTTAGGATCTAACAGGGCAATGAACCCTAAACCTGGAGACTGTTTTTTTCTACTAGACGGAAATGATTTCTATCTCTACCTAACACAAAGCTACAAATTACTTAATTTCACAGAGTATGAGCTCTTAATTATTAGCAAATTGGGAAGGCAAACAGTACATTCTCTTAGGAAATTAATCCTTGGGGGACCTTTTAAGTGCAGCTTCCTGGGATATTTCCCGGAAATGTGTGTAGTTTTATTTATTCTTGTTTTATTCTTGGCCTTATTTTTAAGCTATAGATAATGTTTTTAACATCCCCAAGGCCCATTTGACTTCACCGAGAGCACGGCAGCCACTGAGTAAAGGCAGTACAAGATAATTTCTCTTGTTCTCAGGAATGAGTGGCTTCCCCTAGATGGGAATTAAATGATGTGGCTGTGATATCCCATGTGCTGCAACATTCAAGAAATAGCATGAACTTTGAGGACCAAAATTATCTTGAGTCATCCTCATGCTAGTATTAAATTTTAGTCAGCAAATGTGTCACCCTTCTGAAATTTTCAGTTTAATTGCTAAAGGTGATTTTTTTTTTCTTTGAGGCAGAGTCTCAGTCTGTCAACCTGGGTAGAGTGCCCTGGTGTCTTCATAGCTCACAGAAGCCTCAGTCCCTTGGACTCAAGCAATCCTCTTGCCTCAGCCTCCCAAATAGCTGGGACTACAGGTGCCTGCCACAACACCTGGCTAGTTTTTTTTTCCTATTTTAGTAGAAATGAGGTCTTGCTCTTGTTCAGGCTCATCTTAAATATGTGAGCTCAAGCAATCTACATGCCTCGGCCTCCCAGAGTATTGGGATTACAGGCATGAGCCCCCACGCCTGGTGTAAAGGCAACTTTTAGTTTCTCCACACCCCTTGGGACCTTGTTTTGGGCCGTCTCCGGGCACTCTCTCCTCTACGAGCATGTCCTACTGTGTGGTCTTTTATTTTGAAGGTAATAAATTCACATGCTAAACAATTCCTTCAGTGTAGTGTGCAATGTAACTAAATGATTTAAGACAAAAAGTAAATGTGTGGTTTTCTTTTTGAGACAGAGTCTTGCTCTGTCACTCAGGCTAGAGTGCAGAGGTGTCATCATATAGCTCACAGCGACCTCAGACTCCTAGGCTCAGTGATCCTGCCTTAGCCTCCTCAGTAGCTGAGACTACAGGTGCCTATGGTGGCATGGCTAATATTTAGTTGTGCTGTTGCTCTGGTTGGTCTTGAACTTGGAGGCTCAAGCAATCCTCCTGCCTCAGCTCACAGGCGTGAGCCACCACGCCTGGCCATGGGTGGGCTTTTCTGCATCTATAGAAAGTTTATGCATGTCCAAGGCAAGGAACCCAAACAATATAAAATGTTCGCAGTGAGGATTCTCACTTCCAGCCAGAGCTGCGATCTTCCAGGTCTCGTGTGCAGAGGTGCCAGCAGCTAGTGTTTCCTGTGTCTTTTCACAGATGTTATATGTGTACTGAAGGGCGAGTTTGTTGTTTTCATACATGTTTATTGTGACCACCAATATGCACTTGGTTTCTTTGTGTTTAACATTAGCTTCTATCAGTCTGTGTGAGTCCACGCACCCCCCCCACCCCCACCCCACACACACACACAGCTCCTAAAAAGAAAGGCCTGGTCTTTACCTTGAACATGTAGATACTTTATCAAATTTTACCACTTTTATTTATTTTTATTTTTATTTTGTTTGAGATAGAGTCTCACTCTGTCACCCTGGGTAGAGTGCTGTAATGTCATTATAGCTTGCAACAACTTCAAACTCTTGGGCTCAAGAGATATTTTGCCTCAGTCTCCCAAGTTGCTGGGATGACAGGCACCTGCCACTACGGCCAGCTAGTTTTTCTATTTTTAGTAGAGATGGTGTCTCACTCTTGGTCAGGGTGGTCTTGAACTCAAAAGCTCAAGTGATCCATTTACCTAGGCCTCTCAGAGTGCTGGGACTACAGGCGTGAGCCACTGTGCCTGGCCAAATGTAGAGGCCTTTCTGTATCTGTATGTATTATTCTGTATTGTATTGTGCTTAGTATCCAGAGACTGAATTTACGGCAGTGAAAGGCAGTGAAATTCTAGGTAAGTGTGACCTAGATAGAGAGAGAAAAGATAGAATCTGCTAGTTTACATGACAAAAATGACTCTAGGGCCAATAGAAAGAAAGATCAGTATCTTCTCCTTTAAATATCTTAACAGAGATGCTTATTTGAGAAAGCCCTGGGTGAACTAAGTTCAGTGTAGTCCGTTGGTTGATTTGCAGGCCCTGATCTCTTGACATTTGCGGTAGAACTTGGGAAGTCCTTTTGGGGAGTCACGTTTGCTGAGCGGGTCATTTAACTTGCTGTATGCATGCCTGTTCCGTTATCAAGCTGCGCTCATGAAATGTTTATTGTATGAGGCTGGGCAGGGACTCAGCCTCTGCCTTCCACCAGTCGGGGCCCTTCACTGGGAATATGTAAAAAATACTCCCTTTGCAAAGTCTCTGTTGCTTCACACACTCAGCATTTGGATTTACCTTGGCTTTCATTTGAATTGTGCCACTCTTAATTTGTCATTCTGTTGGTTCTGCACATTACTTGAAGACATCGTCCAAGCAGTCTGTTTCCCTTGTCCCTCCCTCGATTCTCCTGCTGGCACAGAGTTTGTCTGTGATGATGCACAAGGGGACTCCACGGGGAGTATCTCTTTCTTTTTGTCCTAAGCCTTGATGGTTCCAGGTTAGCTCATTTCCAAGGAATGATAAACTTGGCTTTGAGAGATGGTAGCCAACAATATTTTTATTTATTTGAAAACAAATGAATTGAAAAATAGTCCTGACAACAGAAGCTGCTGTCGCCAGTGGCTGAATCTCAGCACTGTGTTCATAATGGTGATAGCAGTGCTGCTGCTGTTCAGGAGAAGTGGATAGAATTAAGCCTCCAAACACAGCCCCCGTGTTCTGGGGACTTCGGTGTTTAAGATTGTTGCTTAGGGAGGGTTGGTGAATGGTGCTTCCAAAGCTGAATTCCACTTTGTAACTGTCATCATCCTTTAGGTCATGGAATCCCTTTTGGAATCATCTTTGGTGGAACGGATTTAAATGAAGATGTCAACCGGGAAGAAAAAAGCAAAGTGATGGGAAAAGTTCTTGAAGAGGCCAGGTAATAGTCAGGACAGTCTCATTGGCAGTCGAATGTTGAAACCATTTGGATGGAATTAATTTTTTCTTTTTTTGAGACAGCATCTCACTCTGGGTGAAGTGCCATGGTGTGTCTTCATAGCTCATAGCAATCTCAGACTCCTGGGTTTAAGGGATCCTCTTGCCTCAGCCTTCCAACTACCTGGGGCTATAGGCATGTGCTACTATGCCCAGCTAGTTTTTTCTTTTTTTAGTAGAGACAGGGTGGGGAGGGGGAGGGGGTGTCTCACTCTTGGTCAGGTTGGTCTGAAACTCCTGAGCTCAAGCAGTCCACCACCTAGGCCTCCCAGAGTATTTGGATTACTCCTAATCTAGGAATTACTCCTAATTACTCTAGGAATACTCCTCCCAGAGTATTAGGTGTGAACCATTGGCCTGAATGGAATTAACTGAATACAAAAGACTGAGCAACAAGTCACTGAGGAGGTTGACATGTCACCACTGAAGACCAATTTCACATAATCTTTTCTATCATCTGGCACGTTTTCATTTTGCCAGCAATGGTCACTGTTAACAGGTGGTTGGGCGTGAATAAGTCTTCAGTTCCAGTTAACACTAGGTAAGTGATCTCAGCATGTCCCCTAGGATAGAAAGACTCACACTCTAGCCCCATCAGCACACAAGTTAGGAACAGTTTGCATCAGATTGGCCCAACAGACTGTTTTTGACAGGGCTGTTATGATGTAGATTTCTGAGCTATATAAACCATTGGAGAGAGGCTCTCCAGTGAGATCTCTAAACTGTCCCTGCAGTAAGTACAGCTGTATCTGCCCTGGGCAGTGCTTCTCAAAAGCAGCAAATACTACCTGGGGATGGCAGGCACCTGGAGGGTGCTACAAACTAGTGTATTTCCAACTACTCTGGAGGTGGGAGTGGGAGGTGACAAGCATGGCCAGAGCTATACTACCCAGTGTATACTTTGCTCTTTTCACATGGAGACTTGGGAATAAGGGTTTTTGTTTTTGTTTTGTTTTGGGGGGCTCTCCCACCCCCCAGACTGTGTCTTGCTCTGTTGCCCAGGCTGGAGTGCAGTAGCTCACTGCAGCCCTGAACTCCTAGGCTCCAGTGATCCTTCCACTCCTGCCTTCCAAATTGTTGGCATAATAGGTGTGAGCCACCAGCTAGGGATGTAAAGCAAAATTTATGGGAGGCCTTTGATCTGGATGAGCCTCCTGCACTTGGCC